TCTACAAGTTATCGTTTTTTAAATAATTTCCATTTTACTGTGGGTGTTTTATTTGTTTCTTTTAAATGCCAAAAATATTTGGGTAGGGATGTTTGGTTATGATATTCATTATTTTTTAAGGAAGACAGATGTTGGCTCTACCTTAATTTAAACTTATTTTTAGTGCTACCAATATAAAACTTTTCAATATTAGGATTCTCAATAGATGAGATAGTGCATTGGCAAACTATAGATTCTGTGAGATATTTATTATTCAATGGAAAAATTGTAGGATTCCTACAGTTGCATAATTTTTCTTTACTATTATTTATTCTTATTTCCGGATCACTATTTCTTTGATTGTGTTTTAAGAATTTATTTAAAATTTTATTATTGTTTTTTTTTAATCTTAATTTACACACACACACACACACACACACATATATATATATATATATATATATATATATATATATATGTGTGTGTGTGTGTGTGTGTGTGTGTGTGTGTGTGTGTGTGTATAATTCTCCTACGTAAGCTGAGACCAAGACAAGCAGAAGCAGATGAGAAAGGACCTAACTAAATACTTTAAGGACCATAAACTAAACATTACCACGAATAACAACGGTAAAATGATTAATTTTCTAGACGTTACATTTGACCTAAGTAAGGGCATCTATAAACCATACACTAAGGATGCATACAACCACAGGTAGGTTCAAGCACCATAAAAGGATACTTGAAAATTTGCACAAATCGGTACAATATAGGTTATCGACCAACTTCAGTAACAAAGAAATATTCGATGCTAATAAAGCTAGATATAACAAAGCGCTAGAACGCAGTAACCATAAAGTGAAATTGAAGTATGTAGAAAGAAATAACAACAAAGATAAAAATAAGCTAAAACAACATAAACGTAGCATAATATGGTTCAGCCCGCCACACAACAATAATGTCAAAACCAACGTAGGTAGAATTTTCCTGAATTTAATTCATAAAATCTTTGGTCATTCTCCAATACTAAAAAAGATTTTCAACAAAAATGATATTAAGGTAAGCTATAGCTGTACAAAAAACATAGATAATTATATATCACAACATAACAATAATGCATTAAGCAAGCACACAAACAAAACACTGATAATACTCCTACTAAAAGTCACTGCAACTGCCATAAAAACGTAATCTGCCCATTAAATGGCAAATGAATGACTGAAGGTATAATCTACATAGCTAGGATCAATTCAGACGATGATGCTAAATATTACTTTGGGTCCACCGAGAACAGTTGGAAATCGCGTTTTTACTATCACAAAATGACACTGAGTAATATCAAATACAAATACTGCACAACACTTTCAAAGTATGTCTGACAATTAAAAAACAACCATAAGAACCCAACCACAAGTTGAAAGTCAAATCGCGAAAGTCAAACCATACAATGGAAAGGGAGACAGATGTAACTTGTGTTTGTTGAAGAAGCTTATTATACTAAACGCTTAAATAACCCTAACTTGCTGAACATGAGAACAGAATTGATGTCTACATGTATCCATAATACCAATCACCTGCTCAAACACATTGACCCCAATTAAAAGAGATTACAAAATAGATTTTATAAATATTAATATAATATGCAACAACTTTTAATATTCTTAGAACTTATATAGTTATACACATATATAATCTCATATTACCGTACTCGATTAATTTATAACGTGTATATATATATATATATATATATATATATATATATATATAATTTCATATATGTAAGTATAAAGTTTGATTCCAAACACATTAGATATATAGTCCCGACCTATTATTGTATTTACACCATGAGTACTAATTTACTTTAATTGTTATAATTATGGTATTTTATGCGAAAAAAAGAGTTACACTACTTGATACCTAATTTGTTTACTTATTTCAAATTGAAATAATTTTTGTTTTTTTAATTCTTCGTCTTTCGAGCTTATGAATTTGAATGATGTAAATTATAAATAATTAATTATAATATAATATTTTAGGCAACAATAATTAAATAAAGAAGTCTTAACACACAATTTTAAATCAGCACCACGAGAACGCGTACTCTATAACGGTCAGAATATTCTCAGCACCTGAAGATTGCAAAACTGCATGAAACTGATTCGTACTACCGACGTTGGATATTAAATTTATTTACTAATATATATATATATATATATATATATATATATATATATATATATGTGTGTGTGTGTGTGTGTGTGTGTGTGTGTGTGTTTCTCCAGCAACTATTGGTATCCATTTTCGGTCCCATGCTCCCAGGTCATGACTTCATTTACCTATACGTACTCTTAGTAATATAGCAGTCTTAGCTAAAAAGAAAAAAAAGCAGCATAATATTAACGTCATGAGTTCAATCCTCGCAGGATGCCTCACACTCATATTACCTTGTGCCAGACTAAGCTAAGCTGTGGTAATATTAATGTCGGTGTTTTGCTATGTTATTGTGATTAGCAAGTTAATCTTACAGATTTTTAGTGAGTTTCATTCAAACGAGGTGTCTCTTCTACCATTTATGGTCTTGTGCAATTTTAAAATAGATTTGGACAAGATAGTATTAAAAGTCTTTTCGGGCACTTGTCCGAGGGGTTATAGTGTTAGCTAATCCAACAATGAGATGGATTCGAATATCACCATGGTCAATTCGTAAGAAATATCACTTATTGATAATTTCGACTAAACGTATGGCTCTTTTAGGAAATGTCTAAACAAAACATAGCATGGGTTGGACTTTATGAATGTGAGTGAAATTATTTGGAAGTCATCGTGGTTAAGGGTTTGAGCTTCCTGACTTTGTTCAACTACTAATCAAATTATGTTGTGCAATTTCTACCAGAAAGTGGGACTAAGGTCTACTGAGCATAGTTGCAGTATAAAAACAAAGGTTGGCTCTAGGGGTCTTAAAGAAACACGAATGATCAAGCGTTTGTAATACGCTATTAGACGAGCAAACTCGGAGAGGGGAAATCAGCCATTATATCACATAATACTGATTTGTAATGAGTTCGATACTAGTAATGAGTTAATCTCCTAGCAGGTTCTCCTCACTTGGATGACTGGCTTAACATGTTCTCTCTCATCCTTCATTGGGCTAACTTATTTCTTTTCACTTTTCTCTTTGTTTTCAACACGCGTTCTTTCTCTCTAATCTTCTTTTCCATTTTTTATTTTTTATTTTTTTTTACTCACTTCCAATAACGTTCTTCCTCTCTAACATTTTCTCTACCTCTCCTCCACTTTCCTTCTTATCGCACTTTTTAACGAATTTTGCATTTTGTTCTTTCAATCTCTTCCATTTTCTTTGATTTTTTTCTCCTTATTCTCTCTTTTCTCTTCTTGTTTCTTTCTTTTTCTGACTCTTTCGCGTCCCACCTTCTCTTGATTATGTTCGTTGCAATTGTGTTAACAATCACTTCTGATTTTTCTACTGTTTTGTATCTGGATAAAGGTGTGAGCAACGGCAGTTCTTTCAAAAATAGAACACATAAGACACACCAACTGAATTCTTCTCTTTGCTTTGACTTGATCCGCCCTTTTTCCCTCCTCCCCCCCTCTCTCTCTCTCTCACACACACACACACATATATATATATATATATATATATATATATATATATATATATATATATATATATATATATATTGTGTGTGTGTGTGTTAAAGCAAAAGAGGGCGTAGCCCGGATTTTTATCTTAAACCGAGAAGCCTATGTCAAATGTACTTTTAAAATTATCAACCATAATGTCGTTCTCGATATGATCAAGGGACCATTTAAAAATATTCTGATGTTGGGTCATTTGGTCAGATTCTGAGAATTTCCTACTGGGTATTTTTCAGCACTCCCTCTTATAGCAATCTTAATCCTACCCGTTATACCCGGTATCGTGGAGTACTGGTTAACAAACTCATCTTACAGATCATGACTAATGTAGTGATTTTGATCCGCATGGGTGACCAACACTTTTGACGTTCTGTCAGACTAAGTGAGCTTTGCGCCACATTAAACGTTAATTCAACGAAATTTTTATAACTTTAGTATAGTTTTTATTATAATTGTTCTCCATAATTATATTTTAGACATTGTGCACAAATTTACCATTTTTTGTCCTCGATTGAGGTCTGAATAGTGAGAAACGAAGATAGTGTGGCCTCTTTCGAAAGCACCCGGAATAAAACAATATGTATCAACACGGTAATTTTCACTCTTCTTTTAATACCGACACCAGAAAGCTCGTTCGAGAATATGAACAGATCCTGTTGAAAATAAGCAGACAAAATTTGTCTCAACTATTCAACGAAACTTGCCTCAGTGAAAACATGTTGCCAATATATATATACTACAGTTAAAAAATTTGAAGCCATCCCAGAATTACCATAGGATGAACTTGACAGAAGAGTGAAAAAAAATGAAATGAGTTATTGGAAAAAGAATGAAATCAATTATGAAAATTATACTTTGAGAAACTTTTGCAACACATGTCAAAAATTAGTACTGCAGTAATCAAGGCTAAAGGAGGATATTTCGACGAGAGCAAAATTTAATCATAAAATGCTTTTTTTCTTTCTGTCATAATAAAATTTCTAATAAAAAAATCATGCTTCTTTTTTTTAACCATGTATAATAATTTTCTCTTATTTAAGGTACCAAACAACTACTTTCGGGTCAATTTAAAAAAAAAAAGAAGATTTTTACGGCTTATCAACCTTTTGTGGGTTATTTAAAGCCGAGACATTTTTGGGTTGTAAGAATACTTTTTTTCGAGTGAATATTGTATTAACAATATTTGTAGATAATAATGATTTTCAGATAAGTTCTACTATTGAACCCATAGCTGGGATGAAGAATAGATGGAGTCATACCTTTTCCAAGGTTATTTGCGCGTGAGTAAATGTAATAATGAACCTGACTGCAATTCGAACCGAACTCGGCTCTCCGATTTCTCATTCCAAGCGCACATCCAAGTTTAGAGCATCTGGTATTCCCAAGTGGTCACCATTCTAGGTACTAACCAGGCTCGATGTTGCTTAACTTCGATGATCTGGTGGAAACCGGTGTTTCAACCTGATATGAGGGAGTGGTTTATTACATGAGGTAGATCAATGGTGTTTTATTTGATTAACCTAGTGCGCCGATCTATGTAGAATTTTACGAAATGAGCAATAATAATCAAAAAAGAAACAATAATATGATTCGCCATAGTCTCTTTTATAATGATTTTCATATGACAGATGAATAGAATTCAATAATATTCGAATTTATTAAATAAAGCATTATTAATTATTATTAATTTTATACACTAGAAATGTCTTCGTCTTAACATCTGTTATTGATTGTTATTATAATTTTCTAGTCATCATTCAACGATTGGAAATGAAGAATAAGCCACATAACTCACATTTCTTGCTCTTATGAACATGATCTTCGTGACAGTTGACTTAACTATTAGGTTACAGAGAACACTGTTAACATTCATTCAAGTGTGGCCACATAATTTTTCTCACAGCTTTTCTACCAAAAACAACCTTTGTAATAATTCGTATAATACAGCAGTTAATCCGTTGTAATATCATTCGAATTTTTAGGTGAATTTTTTATTAGTATTTCTTTCATTTTAATTTATGCTGCTTGGCAGCCAAAAAATAATAATAATAAACAATGATTCAATTCCATAACATCCAAACTTACTAGATTAATAAAAAGCAAATGTGATGGTATAGTCGTGTTCGGATAAGTAGGTTATACAGCTATATGGCTAGATTTGGATGAGTCCTCTTAGTTTGGTTTTGTAGGCTATTCAGTAAAGCAGCTGCTACATGAAGCAGGCGCCACCAGATAATGAATGACAGTTGGAAGACTAATTCTTTATTTCCAATGAATACTGTTTACTAAAGGTCGGAGGATGACGATATGAATGTTGCAAGAGGAAATGTGATGAAAGAACTACTAAATCAATGATAAAAGATAATTTTTAAATATTATTCATGTATACTATATATACATATTACTGCCTGATGTATTGATATATATTAAATTTAGTATGGTCAAGGTTAAATAGAGATTGATAGATTGTGTTGCGTCAAACCTCATAATTGGAGACATAGTGCCTATCTTGAAAATCAGCTTTCGAAGTACTGGCATTTTTTTAAAACTGAGCTTCAAATACTGAGTTCTGAGAGTGATGTGACAGAAAAGACGATTTTCCATTCTTCTTTCCCAATTTATTCTCATTAATTTATTAATTTAAAAAAAAATTGTTTCTGTGTCTCTTGGCAGCCGTAATTTTTCTGTTGCAAGAATATTTATCCTTCTCCCCTACATAATCGTAGCAGCGGCAGCATTCACTTGCCAAGTATGTTACAAGGAATGAACTTCAAGGCATTGTGTACACTCGATTGTGAGTTGACAAGAAAAGATTTTTCAAACTTAACTCGTCTTCTCAATATATTAATCTTTAAGCTCGTAATTTCAGTGGTCCATATGCCTTTACTAAGAAATGTCTGTATGTATTTATTATGTATACATTTATTATTATGTGCACACATTATATTACTATATGTACGTAATTAGTGTCTTGTGGACGCATAGCGTGCATATGTAACTTTTCGTTCTTCTAGTTGCCAATGTGGAGAAGGTTGCAATGAACTGTTCTCAACATGGTCTGGATTCCACTTGTTTTTAATGTATTTGCATTCGATTGAAAACTGAAACTTTTGTTTTCTACAGTGTACCACTCACAGCAACTTCGATTTGATTCCCCCAAATTGAACAATGTCATTTTTGGCGGAGTCATTTGTGTGATTTTCTTTTTTTTTCTTTGTAATACAAAAGTGACACTGATTTGAAATGGTTCCAGCTAATATTTTACTTGTATGTATAGTGATATTTTATAGAAGTAACCAGGATTATATAAATACAATATATTGGTGATCAGGTTCTCCGAATAAAGTAAGCTATATTTTTTAAAAAATCGCTGGTACAATAAGAGCTTGGAATCTCAAGAGATTGTGTTCAGAATTGAGATTAGATATTGCTTGATTGGTTAGTAGATCGACTAATCAAAGGACGGGAGAAAAAAAGACCTTTTTTTTCTAGTTGAAAATAAGATATTTGAGTTTTTGAGCAGCAAACGGTTCAGATCACATTTCTGGCTATAGTGTCAATGCCGCCATCATTGTCATAACTGAGAAAAACATAGAATTTCCAAAAATAAATATATTTACAATTGTTTCCTATCAACAAAATGTCAGTTATCATTCTGAAGACTCCTGTGTTATTACATGCGACCGGACCGGACCGAACCAGTTAGACAAAGTGTCGACCAAAAGATCTCTTCACTGATCCTCCCTTTCTGCAGATCATTCAACATAGTGCGCTCACTAAAGCGTCGAGGGAGCTGGCTGGAGACGATAGAAGGAAAATAATATCACTTCACTACAGATATATGACCACACACTCTCCTGCTGATCATTTACAAACAGAAATGGCAGATGATATTACAGTAACAATGAAAGTAGTTTTCATTTAGCTATCACAATTTGCTACATTGGCTTGCCTATATATTCATTTGAGTATGCATGTATTATATTGTCTTGTGTATTATTTTCCTTTTTTTTCAGTTTAATCATTTTCTTTATTAATACACCTGTTAACTAGATGCCAGCCTTCAGGATGATGAATGGAGATGAAAGTATTTACGTCGGCTATTAAGATTTATGTATAACTCGTGAATGGCACGTTGCTCAATAGGAAAAATGCCTATCAAGATGGGAATTAAATCGATTTCAGATAACACGTGCACAGAAGTTGGTAATGGAAAAATACTTTCATGAATTGATATCTTTTCTGCATCTTTTTCTTGTATTTTTCTTTGTATTCTTGATTAGAGATTCACCCAGTTTTTCTTATGTTTTCATCTTTCTGTTTTCTTTTATTCCAAGACGTGGCTTTTCCCTTAGTTTGAACACCGACCACTGGAACTGATGGGAAATGCAACCACTCTCTCAACAAGATGCATTCTTTTCTTTCCCATTATCTTCTTTCATTCTTTCTTTCACGGTTTTATTAGCTGTTTTTTCCGTTCGTTCTTTTACACTTCTTTTCTTTCTTTCTTTAACATTTCCATTTTTTTCTCTATCTCATCTTCTTTCTTTTCATTTTACATTCTCTTATTGTCCTTATTTTCGCTCCTTATTCCTTCATTATTTCCTTTTCTTTCTTTCACTCTCTCCTTTTCGTTTTCTACTTATATATGTTTCTCTTTCCCTTAAGATTTAACCAACGAAGACCACCCAGCAGCTCAACTCATTCCGCCATTTGCAAATTCCTTCAATTATTTTTATTGCCTTTCGTGTAACCATTTCATCATCTGTGATCATAACGAACGATAATTAAACAGGATTTTCCATCAGAAATATACGATTAAACTACGCCAAATCAATAATTATTAAGTTTTATGCATATTCTTCAACACTTAAGACGGAATTTTTTGGGCCAATCTATCAAAAAAAAAAAAAAAAAAAAAAGAAAAAAAGAGAACACTTGCAGAAATAAATCGGTGATTCTGACTTGGATCTCAAGGCCGGTAGGTCTGCTGTAATATTTTAGCTCGTTATCACAAATTTATCTATGAGTAGTTGATTGATGAAGAGTCTAAGAAATGCCACATAAATTGGTAATTCTCTCGTGTTTTTCTTTATTTATTTATTTGTTTATTTCTTCTGATTGATTCTTTCTTTCTTTTTCTGATTGTTTCTTTTTCACTCATTTTTTTTTCTTTCTTTCAATCTCATCTTCTTTATTTCATATTTTGGTTGTTTCTTTCATTCACTATTTTTCTTTTATTTCTTTGGTTCTTTCTTTCATCATTCTTTTGTTTTGTTTGCTTCTTTCTTCCGTTTTTCTTTCTTTCACTTTCTACTTCCCTCTTAAAATGTTCATTTTTTCGTTTTCTTTTTTTTCTTTTTTCAATTCTTTCTTTTGTTCATTGTGTTTATTTTTTTTTCTTTTTTCGTTTACTTTTTCTTTCAAACCTATTTTCTTTCTTTCGTTCATTTGTGTTCTTCTGTTCGTTTTGCTTCTTCTTTCTTTTATTCACATTTTCACTCTTTTTTATTTGCTTCTTACTTTCGTTTTGATTGCGTTGTTCTTTCAACCCCGTCCCTCTTTACGTTCTTCTTTGTTTATTTCACAATTCCTTCATTTTTTTTTCAATTGCATTTTTATTTCTTTCTCTCACAAGTCACAAATGTCATTACTTTCATCGATACAAGTGAAAATGATGAGTAAATGATTGTCACAAATACATTTATTCATAAACAGTTTGTAAAATGTTTTAATATTTACTGACAATCCTAAAAATATATTCGACATAAGCTCTCCCTGTTTTTCCAGTGAATATCGAAATTCAATAAAAAAACAAATCTTAGGTAAAATATTTTAATTTGAATTAAATAATCAATCTCCCTTTTTAAATACTATCTGAATTTCATTGATAAACTTGTTAATTACCTTCACCTTTTTGTCCCATAACCAACATTCTACAAGTATAGATTATCATAACCTCTTCTGTGAATGAAACGCCAAAATGTACCCATTGTACCCACCAAGTATGCTTTTGAAGTTGATGTCATTCGTTTTCTGGTAGAAGAAAAATCGATATTAAATGATCACCTTTTTTATAATTATTAATATCTTATGGTGACGTATCTATAAGATCAATACATTAGTCGAATTTAAACCAGAAATTTTCATTGTATAATATTCGATTTAAGTGATTAATATGCATTTCTGAATTAAGTGCGTAAAAAATGAAGGAGAAAAATAAATATTTGTTGTATAAAAAAAAAATGTTTCTTAATCAATAGGCTACGAATTGATTGACACACACACACACATTTTCTTTTCTTTTTCGCGCGCAAAAAAGTTCTATGGAAATGTAAGTACCTTGTTACTTTATGATTTTAGTATTTACTGTGTCTTTATTTAATCGTTAGAGTGAACAAATGTTTTCATCTATTTATTTAATAAATAGAGCGGGTTACATAACCAACGAGTTCATATAAATCTCTCAC